TGATGAACCCAAGCGCCTGGGTTCGTGATGAACCCAAGCGCCTGGGTTCGTGATGAACCCGGCTCTTGGGTTCACCTAGAGGTAAAAAAAAGAAAAGCAGAAGGAAGGAGAAGATGGGGAAGAAGATGGGGGTAAATAAGTAATTAAAGATAAAAAAGTTAGCCATGTCATCAACTCTTGTGAAATGGATTTTTCATATAATTTAAGTAAATAAATAAATAAATGTTTTTGTTAATTAACTTGCCACGTTAGCCAAAATTTAACAAAATTACTAAAAAGGGGTCAGATTTTAAAATTTAAGGACCAAAAAGGGGATTTTTTCGGTATAGGGACCAAAAAGAAGCTTTTTCCTATAGTAGAGGGACCAAAAAGGGTATTTAACATATTTTTAAAATTTTTAATTATGGTAATTCTTTAGTATATAGATTGAGAGAATCTTAAAAAACTTTTGGAAAAATTTCAATACTTATTAGTTCTTTTGCTTTAATACTCAAAGAAAATTATATGAAATCTCATCGTTATCTTAAATAAATCAAGATACACAAATTCTAAAAATTCTTAAAACTTTATCAAATATATTTCCTTTGAGATTTAAAAACTTCATGCACGGCCATAATTAGGCTATCACCAATATGCACAATAGACACATATAATTATTCCTTAAAGGTAATTAATTACCAACAAAACCTATTATGAAACCAATGATTTAGCTTTAAATTATATGTCATGAGTTATACTCAAACTTTAATTCCACAAAATCTCTTTATAGAATTCATATACTAGAACCCACATATGAAAACAAATAACTTTATTTTAAATAAAATATCAATATGAATAAAATCATACTTAGTTGCCTTGCATGATTGTACCTTTGTAGTTTGTTTTAATACAACTTGATGAATCTTTAAAACTATAATTCTCAACATTCTTTGGTGCACCTTTAATACATATTTTCTAAAAATTTTCTTAACTTTCATAAAGTTAGTAGAAAATAACAATTATACTTTCTCCAAATGCATAATTAATTTGCATAGATAGTTTATTACCAACTATAAATATGTTATTTACATCCAAATGTGGATACTTTATTTCCTTATCAGAAAATATAGTGCTAGGAAACTCATATGTTAAACAACATATGAAGATAAGTAATCTTTCATGAGAATTAAAATTTCACAATTATCTACTTATTTATCCATGACCATAAATTTGTTTATTAACAGTCAAATTTAAAAACTTTGCAAATGAGTAGTGCAACTAATTTCAAGAACTTTAACCCAAAGATATTACAATATATAAATAATGGATACATATAAAACTCACATACCTCCAATTGTGGCTAAATACTTTAACAAAATGTTGAAATTTAATCTCCAAGATATGTTTCATAGCATATATCATATGCATAATAATATTCACAAAATTATTTTAAACCAAAAAAATGAAAAACATATCTTATCAATAATTCATTTGCCACTAACCA